CATGAAGCCCCCAAATCGATGGCAGGATGAGCTGACGAACTTTGCTCGGACCCACGGATACAAATCGCAGAAAACAAGTTTGTAGCAAAGGCTTGGAGAAGCCATCATACAGCAGGCGATGTGAATCGAAAAAAGCTGCTGATAAACTCACTTGTCAATCAGTTCTAAGGTTCTGAGTGAAAAGCTGGAATAAAAGAAGCTCTCTTACTGTCAATCATTCCGTAATGTCACCATACATTGGCTCAGGCCAAGACGCCTCTCCGGTACTACGTCATGCTAGCTGACAGCTGCAATGGTATTGTTTTTACGGCTCAGTCCATTCAAGAGTATTTAAGAATAAGACAATTGTTACTACCTAGCAGAATTACAAAAAGCCATAGAAGAAGGAAGCTGAAGATGGCCACTGTTATGTCATTTCTTTTAATTCCGTTCTTTCTTCTCAAAAATCGATAATGGGCATGACTGTGCGCGGGACTGCGGATCTTATCAAAGGTGCAGCGCCAGTGTGTACGAGACAGTTACAGAGTACAGGAGATTACTTGTCATCCTCAACCTGAACACAGCTGATGATCTGATTACTTTAAGAGTGAGTCAACTAAACTCAATTCCAACAGCACCACTTGTTCTTAAAGTGTGATGCCGAAAAGTAAAGCCGGATGCTCACTGAATTTAAACACCAAAGCAACTGATTATACTGAGGCAAACTTAAACTTCTGTGTTATCAATCAACGCTAGATTATAACAGCAAATAAATATTCAGAATAGAACTTTTACCCCAAAGCGTATCTCACCGGAGAATTTAGCACATGAGACGTGAATGAATTAAATAATGAGTTAGGTTTGTTCTGTCAATGAAAATCAGTTCTGTTGACTGAGCCTTTACATATTACATACCCATATATTCCATAACACAAAGAGGCAGCGCCCTCTTATTCAAGAATAACTCTAACCGACGTTCTCTCATTCCAAAGACATAATCGCATTCTCACATACAATGATCAGCACTTAAATTCTGATTCCAAACTTCTACAGATATACTAGTCAAGTACGCTGTGCAATCTTAGTATTGACTGCTTAATGAACATTTGCTTGATCTCTCGATGTTTTACATTAGACTTCGCTGATACCAAACCGGAACTTATAATTCAAACCTAGTAGCTCATAAAACTAGCACCAAGATTTCAGTAGCAAAGCATACCACTGATATAACTAACAGACAGTTATGCTGTGTTCATACAAGACAAGGTAGGTACAGACACTTTAACAGGTGGAAGATGAAGGATTCGTCAGTATATAAATTTGACTAGATTCAATCAATAAAATATATAATGGATCACTATAGCATCTAACCTCACCGAGTCAAGGCCGGTTCACTTAGCCATGCAGGATGCAGTAGACTGATTACCGTATCCAAGGTTATAGCCATGAGAACGTTCGTCCTATTCTGCGCTTGACGAATTCAGAACAATTAAAGAAACTTGCATGTGAGGATGATTGCATGAAAACAGATCAGCAGAACAGACAGTGCGCATAAGCAAGTCTTCTTTAAACTAGATGAAATGACGAAACTTTCAATGATGTGTCATATACACTTCGTTTTTTGAACCACTAGTAAACATAATGACTAACTAAAGTATATCTCGAATATTTCAGGCTTTCATGTAATATATGCGGCTCACTGGTACTTCAAAAGTTGGTACATAACGTTAAAGATACATAAGGAGGCAGTTACAATTAGCTGCATTGCGCCTTTCGCGACAATGTAGCTATTGCGGCCATAAAAGG